GGAGAAGAATAGCACGGCCAACTCTGGGGTCTTCTCTACAGACAGCCTGAGCAACGGGCACCTGGGAAGTTTTTCATCACACACACAAGACCAGGAAAGAAATATTGAAGAACTGGAAATGGCTCGGACTCAGAGCTTAATGCCCAGGCTGAGACCTCAGCTGTCTGCTCCACCATTAAAGGTAATCATTCCCTTGCTTCACTCTCTAGAATCTGGAGGAAAGAGAACAGGCTGTGGAGCCCAACAGCCTTGGCTCCAAAGTCCCCCTTTGTTCTCTATTTGCCATGTCAGGAAATAAATACTTACAGTGCATGGTTGTTGAGAAGAATATAAAGGGGAAAAGGCAAAGCTTCTAGTGCAGTGCCAGGGCTCAGTGTTTGAGGTTTCAGTGTCCTCGGTCACTAATTTTAACTGTGAACTGGCTTCTGCAGAGGGCAACGCATGGACAATCAGACATCTTGTATTCTTGGTCTCTAGTTAGTCCTCAAGCTGCAACTCATTGCCTTCGCTCTTGACAACACACCAAGGAGGAAGAAGACAAAGGCCAGCTTTGGCATGCAGAGAACTGTCTGCTTTAGTCCCAGGGCCGCCAGACTCCAGCTGTGTTTCCTTAGACACTGGATGGAAAGGTCTCCTTTTGCCCCTCCAGACCTCTGTCCGTTTTTCTCTGGGCCCTGTGGAGCTGACACTCACAGACTGTGTCAGCCCCCTGTCTTCTGGTTGGCTCTGCCCAGAAGCCCTGTGTCTAGGAAAAGAGAGTTGTTTTCCTTTATCTCACACGACTACCCCACTCGCAACACTCTGACACCAGTTGGGTGGGTTTTCCACATCAAGCAATTCCGACACTAACAGACTGGAATTAGCACTAGGTCCCACAGGTGAAGGACCCATCCCTCAAGACAGCCTCCACTCCAGATGACAATGAAGCTGTCGGTCCCCAGGTTACCCACACTTCTGTCTGACTTGGCTGCAAATTGGAGGTCCCCATGACCCCCTCCTTGGGTTTGTTAATTTCCTAGAGCAGCTCACAGGATCCAGGAAAACAGGTTCCTTGCTATCGCTGATTTACTATAAAGGATGTTTTAAAGGTACAAGGGAGGAGACAGATGAAGAAATGCATAGGGTGAGGTCTAGAAGGGTCCTGAGAGCAGCGTCATCTGCCCCTGTGGAGTTAGGGTGTGCCGTACTCTCTGCATAGATGTGTTTATGAACCTGGAAACTACGAATCCCATACTTTTGAAATTTTTATGGAGGCTTCAGCACGCAGGCATGGTGCATCAGTAGCTCAATCTCTAGCCCCTCTTGCCTTCCCAGAGGATGGGGGGTTGAGTGGAGCGGAAAGTTTCAAGCTTCTAATCATGGCTTGGTTTTCTGGTGACCAGCCCCCATCCTGAAGCTACGCAGGAACCAGAGTTCCCTCTTTAGAACAAAAGGCATTCTTATAACCCAGAAAATTTCAAGGGATTTGAGAGCTCTGTGTCAGGAACTGAGGTCAAAGACCAAATATTAGAACAAAAGATGCTCCTAGTCTCCTATCACTTAGGAATTTTTTTTTTTAATTTAGACATCCCTGTATTTTATTTTTTATCACTTATTGTGATATAATTAACATATATGTGTGTGTCTATACATATGTACATATGTATAGATACACACACACATATATAGCAAAATGATTACCACAACAAGGCTAGTTAGCAGGTCCATCCCCTCACAGAGTTAAAATTGTGTGTGTGTGTGTGTGTGTGTGTGTGTGTGCGTGTGTATGGAGAGCGTTTTGGATATACTCTCTTAGCAACTTGCAAATATACAATACAGTATTTCTAACTACTATAGTAACCATGCAGTACGTTACATACCCAGAAATTATTTACCTTATAACTGGAAATTTGTACCCTCTGACACTTTCACCCATACTCTCCTCTGCCCACCCCTCACTCTCACCCTGGCAACTACCAATCCACTACTCTGCTTCTGAGTTTGTTTTTTTAGATTCCACATACATCACTTAGGAAAGTACAAGGGTTGAAGGAGCTCTGTGCCAGGAGTGGGGGGCAGAGACCACTATACAGGTTTTCTCTTATTTCACAGTCTAGTGGGAGCCTGCAGCTGGGGGATGAGTGAGTACTGGCTTGTCACCCTGCCTGTGCTCAGGTTGGCTGTGACCCTCTGCTGAAGAACACAGCTCCTGTTAGGAGCTCTTTGCCCTCGAGCTCTTTACCACTCGCTCAATTCCATCAGCCATCCCCCCTCTCGCTCCTCAGGCTCAGGGAAGTTAAGAGCATCCGCTGTTTCTAGCCCCGGGGTGCTTAGCTCTCCTCATCGGTTTCTTTAACTGCTTGCCCACACCTTTGAAAGCAGGCCTTGTGTCAGCTCTCCTCCATCACCCAGGATGGGGATGTACACCTTCTCTTGGTGCTCAATTAATCTCGTAGCATGACTGGACGGATGAATCAACATGACATGCATGTCACAGCACCAAGCAAAATGCCTGGCATGAGGTAGAAAATACTCTCTTCTGTTCTTCTCTCAAGCATTCAACCACTGTAAAGTAGAGACCCAGTATAGCTACTCTTGCTAGAGATGATTGAAGGTCCTCCTGAGGTTTTCTTCTGCTCCAGAAGCTGCTGTGTATCTGGTATCCAGCATGCCTTCACTTGACTGGTGTCATGTGTGAAGCTACCAGGGAGTGTCTAGATGACTTCAGTTCTCATAACGATATTTGCGTCATGAATAGAAACAGGAGAGAATCTATTGAGACCCTGTTATGTGCTGGGCATCATTCATACTCACTGTTAGAAGGTGATCTCTCATTGCAGTTCCGTGGATTGGGGAAAAAGTCTGGAGAGACCAAGAGACAGGTGCAAAGTCATACAGGGAGGAACTGCTTAAGCGGAGAGTGAATCCCCTGTTGGCCCAGCCCTGAAACTTATGATTTTTTTTTTTTGATGTGCAATGCTGCTGGCTCCTGAGAGCAGGTGAGAGCTAAGAGGTGTCATCTGCTTAGGCAGGGCCAGCGCCTTCACTTCTTCTTTCTTTTTGTTTGTTTATTCGTGGCAGGGTACTGGTTCTTCGTGTCCTCTATCACCTTCAGAAAACAATGCCAGTGAAATCTACTTCGTGGAGCTGGTTAAGGAAGATGGGACACTTGGATTCAGCGTGACTGTAAGAATTCTCAGGAGAGCTTAGAAAGTAAACAGTTGAAAGATGTTCATCTGGAGTCTTGGTGGGCATTGCACTCATGTGCCAACCTCTGATAACCCACTGATCACTGGGTACAAGCAACACGTCAGAAGTGATGAACCAAGAAAGTCAGTGGGGGCCTCAGTGAGGGATGGGAGTTCAAAGTGAAACTGGGAGACCAATGGCAAACTTGGGAAGAGCAGACACTCCAAGCAGTGTGGGTGGAATTATGGTTATGCTGGACAATAAGGAGAGGGTAGCATTGTGGTGCTTCAGGGACACAAGCCAAAGGTGAATGGGGTGGTCCCTGGTCGGCAGGTTGGTAAGACCTCCATTCAGGACAGACACTTTGCATTTGGTTTCTGAGCTCCATCTGGCAGACCCGGGAGGGGGGAGGATAAAAATTGTACAAGAATGATATTATATAATCCCACTGATGTAAAAATTTTTATGTATGTGTGTATACATACGTGGAAAAATTAGAAGAAAAAGATAAAGTTAGATCTTTAGTGACCTGTAAGGATGTTCATAATCTATTGTTAAGTTAAAAAAAAAAGTTGCAAAATACTGTGTGGTTGAATTCTGCTTTTGTATCCACAAACCAACACACAAGGATACAGAATATGCCAGGCACCAGCCTTTGGGCCTTTGGGCCTATCGCTGTATCCACTTTTGCTGGTTACTGCTTATGGAGAGACGATGTGGTACATTGACGTGACTCATTTCTGAGCACCTGCCATTGGCCAGTGCTGGGCTGGATATGACACCGCTCCCTCACACGGCTCATATCGTTATACTTCTTATGAGCATCTAACCTTCTGCTCAGTGGATAATAAAGCCTAAACAAACAAGTGAATATATAAGATGGTGTCACATGGAGATGAGGTGATGGGATAGAGTGGAAGGCAGATGGGAGCTCTCTGAGTCAGGGAGGTGGGGGAGGCCCCTTCAGGAGGGGGCAGATGGGTGGTGAGTTTTTCATTGTGTTTTCCAGGGTGGCATTAACACAAGTGTGCTCTGTGGAGGTATCTACGTGAAATCCATCATTCCTGGAGGGCCAGCAGCCAAGGAAGGGCGGATCCTGCAGGGTGAGGATGGAGTCACGCTGGGCTCTGCGTTCTGTGGTGTGATGAGCCCCGGCCTGGGGGGTGCAGCCGTCAAGCCTTGCCCCACTCTCACTCTGATGCCTTGTGCAAATGATTGCCTCTCCAGGTCATGGTTTCCTTACCTGGAAAAGGAGATGATTTAGCCTGACCCACCTACCTGATATGTTAACATGGGGCCCAAATGCTTGGGAAACATAAGGTGATTTAAAAATATGAAATTTTAAATAAACTTGTTGCTGTTTGGCTTTCATGGGAGAAGCCATGCTCCCCATGGAGGACAGAGCAGGTACTGGTGACCTCCACTTAAGTATCCGGGGAGGACACCAGCAAGCCTCCTTTCTGCCCTTCCTCACATCCACTGCTCTGAAGGAAGTGGGGGTGGATTTTTACTGTTCTCCAAAATGGCTAGAATTGAGCTAAAAAGGGCACCTACGATCTTACCTATCTCCATTTTCCCTAGAATTCCAGGGTCCCTGGCATCAACCAGGTCTCCCTGAGGTTTTTTGAAATAAAAAACATCCTGGAGATATAAATATCACCCCTAAGAGACTTGAAAAAACTTTCAAAAATGGTTTCCCAGGAAATCGGGAGAAAGGATAAGGTTGTACTTGTTAGCTGGCTTAACTGCTCTGTGAGCCAAGGATAGAGGTTTCTAGACCGCTGATCTGTGCAGGTGCTCACAGGGGAGGCTGGCAGGGCCCGGGCGGGGCTCCCCCCAGCTCAGCTCCCTACCCCTCCTTGAGGCTGTGTGGAGGGGTGCTGGGCAGGGGCCTCGCAGAAGAGTCCTTCCTGCAGCCCCAGGAGCTCGGGGACATGACATCTGTCCCCCTCCCAGGTGACCGGCTCTTGCAGGTGGATGGAGTGAGTCTGTGTGGCCTCACCCACAAGCAGGCCGTGCAGTGCCTCAAGGGCTCTGGGCAGGTGAGTGCACTGTTACTGGTTACTGGGGAGCTCTCCTTCCCCCCAGAGTTTTCCTCGACAGCATCAGAAGCTGTGGTTGTCTCTGGGTGGGAGGGGGTAGGCAGGAAACCACCGAGACTTTCTGTTGTGTCTGTGTTTTTTCCTTTCACATCTTCCTTTTACCAGCGCTTTTCTTTGGAGGTGTGAAAGTCAGGAGGAAGCAGGCAGATGTTCCCAGGCAGAGAAGCTCACCTCCTCTAAGGAGCCTTGAAAAGCTTACTGTCTCTTGCCTAGATTCTGGAATCAGACAGCTGTACTCAGCTGACCGAGTGAAGTGACTTCTCCTGCCTGGCCGCCCCCTCACACCCTCTGCTCCAGCTGTAACTGACCAATGCCTCCGTCCGCTCTCAGAGCCTCTCAGCTCCCGCCTTGGCACGTGCCGACACCCACCCCCGCCCAAGTTCATGCTGTTCCCGTCAACCTGTGTAATTACAGGCTACACTGTCCTAGGGGTCCTTTTATTACAAAGAGGTAGAAATTCAAGATGCCAAGAGCATTTACCCTTCGGTCCTCATTCTGTGCAATGCCCAGGCAGCATCTGGATGTCACTACACTCTGTCCCATCCTCCGCCTGAGGGTGGGAACCTTTACTTGCGATGGTGGCCTAAGCCACAGAGCTGGGGTCTCCCTCTAGGCAACTGGGCAACCATCAGAGATGCAAAGGGCTCCTAGGGACCCCTCTGGCAAACAGAGGGGTGGAAGGGCCCCCTTTTGCTTCCTTTCCCAAACCATTCTTCTATTTTGTGGTGAGATTTACTTGTCTTGGCGACCTTGGTTGACATATCTTGAGAACAAAGTCATAATTTAGTAGTATTCTCTATTCTTCAGAACTTTGCTGACGGACATGCTTAGAGAATGTATTTGGCCAGCATACTGGTGGTGATGACAGGTAGGAACTGTCACTCTGGGGTCACAGCAATGGTGCTGAATGACCATTGCTGCAGGAGGATGTTGGCAGGGTCAAGTCCCCCAAGTGGAAGCTCAGAATTTCTCCAAACTTCCAGGCGATGTCTAGCTACTGGGTCATGCTCTGGGTAATGGGAGTATACAGTGTGTGGGGAAGAGGAAAGGGAAATTGAACCAGAAAGAAAGGGGGAGGCCAGATTGATATAGGCCTGGGATACTGTGCTGGGGGTTTGGATTTTAGGTGATGGTAAACACTGGAGATTTTTAATCAAGAGTGTTGCATGTTCAGCTTGTGTCTTATTTCAATCCACAGGTAACCTTGAGGGGAGTGGACTGAAGGAGGAGGAGATAGGGTCCAGGAAGTCAAGTTAGAGGGCGCTTGCCCCAGTCCAGCTGGCCATTGGCAGCAGGAGAGGGAATGGAGGAGAGGGGAGCACTGAGGGAGATGTTTCTGATGGAGAACATGCAAGCCTTGGAAGCCAGTTGGGTATTTGGAAGGCAGAAGGGGGAAAGCTGGTCCACTGCAAGTGTGGCCCCTGGGAGGTTAGTTGAGAGATAGGTCAGTGTTCTGAGAGAGCAAAGGCAAGAGGAGGAATGTTTTAGGCAAAATGAGGAGGGGGAAGTGAGGGTGAGTGAGAGGAAGAAGATGAATTTGGCCTTGAATACACTGAGATGGAAGTACGTGTGTTACTTCCAGGAGCATTTGTCCAACAGACAGTTGGAAATATGGCTCTGGATCCTAACAGATAAGCTAGATTGGAGATTTTGATTTGAGATTCAAATGAAGCAGCTACTGGATGTATCAGAAAATTACGAAGCATTTGCCGAGTGGAGGGAGAGACTCCTGGTTGCCATATGAGGTGTAAATTGAGTTCGTCCACCCATCCTTCTAGGTTGCAAGACTGGTCTTAGAGAGAAGAGGCCCCAGGACTGCACAGCAGTGTCCTTCTGCTAATGACAGGATGGGAGATGAATGCACGGCTGTTTCCTTGGCAACAGTCTTGCCTGGAAGGCCTGCGAGCAGTGTCTCAGCGACATATGGTGAGAGGAGAGAGGATTGAGTGTTACTATTGTCATGTCATCCTGTGCTGCTTTTGAATTGTCAACTCCAAAGGGAAAGCAGGAAGGCTCCCTCTGGGTTCTCAAAAGATAGTGAGCAGCGGTGGTCATCATGCGGCTGCTTTCAGATGCAATGGAAGCCAATCTAATGGAACATGTTCCTATAAAAAAAATGCATTATCCCCAAAATGATGACCAGGCATAATTCTGCCCCCAAGCCTTCTGAGGATTTCTGATCAGCTGCTGGAACGTTTGTGTCTAAATAAGTATTTGGGGTTGAAATTGGAATGAAAGGATCATGCCTTTGCTGACAAAGGGTCCACGTTTCAGCCGAGACACTTGTAACAAAAATCTGAGTAAAGATGAGGTGGGTGGGGAGAGGAAGGCCCTCAGAAACCTAGCCTAGTTACTAACATCAAAAAGCAAACCCATGATCAGTTTACAGGGGCACTATTACACATCATCTGATGGGTTGCCTCTCTGCACTTCCCTGGGATTTTGTTTCCTGCTAGGAAAACATTTATTTCCTTAGTACGTCGTGATTTGCAGCTTAGCTGCTTGTCAACCCCTTTATAGAGATTTTCCTGAAGGCGTTAAATCAGGTTGAATGCAAGGTAACCATAGTGAGCAATGGGGTTGGGTGGAGGGGGAAAAGCATGTGCATAAAATAAGTCTGTTTCTTCTTTCATTGCTCCTCGGCTCACTCCAGTGAGGGCCTTTGAGAAATTGAATACAGAATGAGCTAAAGGGGTCAGACGATGGTGATGGTGAAACTGGTCATACGACGTACTTGAACCTAACTGCTTCAGACACTTTCATTCTTGCCCCAAATCATAGTTTATAAATCAGTGCTCTGTCCCTCTATTGATTGATTGCCAACTGAGGTGGTGAAAGCAGAGTAGGGGAGGCCCAGAGGCCTCTGGCTGCCAGACTACATAAATTCTTTGGGCTGTGTCCATCTTGGGTGCCCAGAAGCAGCTGTTTTGTCTTACGGTCACTACACAGGGCTGAACAAAATGACAGCTAAAACATTTTCATAGAGTTGGCCGTGATTATCTCCATGGTCTAATTATGCAAAACATTTTTTTCAAGTATACTAAAAAATGACTGTGGTTCTAAAAGGGTAATAGGAATATATGTGATTCAAGTTTTACTAAACGATTTGGGCCTATTGTGTACGTCTCTAAGTCATATCTTTACATATAAACCTTGTTGATTGTCTATAATTGCTCCGTCCAGTATGGTAGCCACTTGCCCATGTGCCTATTGAGGACTTGAAGTGTGACCACTCCAAACTGATAAAATATATACTCGAGTCTTAAAGACTTATTTCATAAGAAGAACGTAAAGTACCTCATTAATAATTTTTTTGTGTTGTTACATGTTGAAATGGTAATATTTTAGGTATGTTGGGTTAAATGAAATATGATTATGTTTATTTTACCCTTTTCCTCTTATTTTTTAAAATGTAGCTGTTTGAAAACTTTGACATTATGTATGTGGTTTGCATGTGCAGTTCACATATTTCCTTTGGATGACACTGACCTATAACAGGTATAATGGACTCTGTCATAAAAATGAGCAAAATGAAATCGTTTAATGTAAAACAGGAATAATTCATTTACTTGACAATTGGCATTTTGAGGCTGGCCAATTTCATTTGTAATCTACTGAAGGGTGGATCTCATTCACATCCCACGACACAGGTCCCAGGTTTGAAGTCAAGCTAAGAAAGAACGCCAGTGGTTTGGGATTCAGTTTCGTGCAGATGGAGAGTGAACGCTGCGGCCATCTCAAGAACGATCTTGTGAGGATTAAGCGGCTCTTCCCGGGGCAGCCGGCAGAGGAGAATGGGGCCATCGCAGCTGGTGACATTATCCTGGCTGTGAACGGAAGGCCCACAGAAGGCCTCGACTTCCAGGTGGGAGGCCATGAGGGATGCAGTCCTGTGTGCAGGCTGAGGTCAGCCACGCTCCTTTCAGGGCCCCCCACCATGGGGAATACTCTGGGCTCCCGGAAATCACACGTGGAGCCTGGATTTGGATTACATAAAGAGAGAAATTGGCAGAACATCCTCACATTAAAATTTCCATCTCAATTCTTAACTATCTGACCTTGAGTAAGCCTTGCTTCTCAGTAGGTTCGTAATGAAACTGAAGATAAAACCCTGGCTTCTGTGCTGGCTAAAGGTCTCCTAACACACACTCCCAGAGGTGGGCGTGAGGGCTCAGTGGGCTACCTTGGGTCCCTTTCTGCCCTCCTTCCCATTTCTCTACTAAATTTACGGCTTTGACGTGTAGTGTTGCATTGGTTGTCGTGTGTATGATCAAAAATGTAATAAAAAAGAAAGTAAAAAGTGGGCATTTCTTAATCTTATAGCATAAAATCTCAGTGAAATATTGTACGTATCGGTCAGGGTCCTGGCAGAAATTGGGCCATCTGAGAAAGTTTAATAAAGGTGCGGAGATTGTTGGGAAACTCAAGGGAGAGTATAGAGCCCTGGGGCTGGGAACAGTGGGTGCAGTCATTCACCTTCCCTACCCCCGAAGTCCAAAGGGAGATGGGTAGGAGCAGTTACCAAATCCTAGAAGCTGAGTGAGCTAGGTGGAGCAGGGATATAGTCATCCTGTGACAACCCCACAGGGAGGAATGCAGGAAAGCAAACGTGGACCTCCCTCTCCCCCTCGGCTCTGATCCCTGTTCACCCTCGCATTGGCTGAGCCCAGCAGGAAGCCTCTCTGCAGCCCACGCAGGTCTACCTCCAGGGCACAGAGCAAGGCAGACGAAGGTGGAGAGTGGCTCCAGGTGGGATGGGGAGGGGTGGAGAATCCTCAGAGCAGCGTTAGGGTGGGGATACCTTCATCCATCCTGCATCCTTCATCTGATCCAGGATCATCCTCTGGAGAACCGCTGCTGGGCCAGCAACTGTGTGAGGGACTGAAGACAGAGAGGCGGACAGTTCATACGGTCTGGTCTCAGAGCTCACGGGGGTAGTGGGATAGACAAGAGAACAATTCCCACTGCGGGAAATAAGTGCCATGAGAGATAAAAGGCCCTGCTCCAGTGCTTGCACCAGGGAAGGGGGAAGGAGCCCATTCTATGGCAGTCCATTGCAGCTGGGGGTACTGAGTAGTATCCAGATCAATCCAGATCAGTGGTTCCAGGTAGGGGTGAATTTGCCTCTTGGGACATTTGGTGAAGACCCGAGACATTTACGGTTTTCACGACTAATGGACGCTACTGGCATCTAGTGGGTAGAGACCAGAGATGCTGCTCAACGTCCTGCGATGCACAGGACAGCTCTGACAACAGAGTTATCTAGCCTAAAATGCCAGTAGTGCTGAGAGGTTGAGACATCATGGTCTAGATAGGTAATGAGAGCTATTCAGGCAACCTCATGCCCTGGGCTTTGAGAGGGTGGCTTGGAGCAAGAGGTTCAGCATGGTGGGAGCTTAGGAAGTGGGTGCAGGGAGGAGCAGATGGGAGAGAGAGCAGGGCGAGAGGCAGTGGCAGGTAAGAACAGGTTCTGGGTGCTGTGCTTATGTTGAGCGAGGTGAGCCAGAGAGAGGGTTCAGCAGGAGAAGAACCTGGTTCTATCTGTATTTGGGAACGACTGCGTGTTAGTGATGTGGAGGAAGGGACGTGGGTGACAGTGCAGGAGGCCAGGAGCAGAGAGGAAGTCACTGCAGTTTCACAGGTGAGAGGTTCCGAGGGCCCGAGCTGACCCTGGGCAGAAGCTCAGGGCTGAGGGTCAGGCTTTAGAGATTGGGGTGGTGGCATCTGCGTGGCCGGTGGCCCCTGAGGCGGGGGTGGGTAGACAGGGAAAGGAGGGTGAGATGGTAACAGTCATCTGCTTGATTCACTCTCTCGCTGAAGAAGAGGCGTCAGTATTGGCAGATGCTGCCATCAAAAGGCCCCAGGCAGACCTTGGCCACTTCCAGCTCAGTATCGGCGCATCATCTTTGTGGGAACCACAGGCCGCTGGCCTTGGGTCCATGCATTTTGGGAAGTCAGCGGTGTCCTCCAAAGTTCTCTGGAGCCGAGAAACAGATCAAGGTGTGGGGGAGAGGGGCCCGGGAGATAGTGGAGAGCACAGAGGAGGACACTCCACAGCCCTGCAACTAACCGTGGGGTTTGGTTTCTGATAGGAGGTGCTGCATTTACTGCGAGGAGCCTCGCAGGAAGTCACGCTCCTGCTCTGCCGACCCCTGCCAGGTGTGCTGCCTGAGATGGATCAGGGCTGGCAGGTAAGGGGCAGTGCCCTCTGTTCTCTCCACATGCCTCAGGTTCAGGCACTCCTTTTCTTGTCTGGTGGGTCCTCAGAAGCCCAACTTTGTTTTTGGTAGTGTCAATGCCATCTACTTTCATTGGGGCAGGAGAGTAGCTGGCCCCCAAACCTCAATTAGTCTGTGACAGGTTCATGAGGTCCTACCTCTGCCTTCCCCTTCCTCTCCCTGCTTCTGCCTCTCCCAATATTTGGCTCTTCCTGTAGATGGTTACATGTTTAGATCTTGGCTGTGAAACTTCTAGAACTAGGTTCTCTGACAGTCTAAGCACCAGAGAGGGGAAACTAGGAGCAACGGGAGTAGATGGAAAACCAAATGAAGGGAAGGTAAGAATTTCCATTCTGAGGAATGAAATGGAGAGAAAAAAAAGAAGGGTATATGTCCACCCTTCTGAAACATGAATTAGGCATGTATGGTCTAGTGCAAAGAAGGGAAGCACTGGAATCAGGACAGTTCAGAATTCTTACATTGATGCCTATATTAGGTCCTCCAGAGAAATAGAACCAATAGGATATGTGTGTGTATGTGTGTGTGTGTGTGTGTGTGTGTGTGTGTGTGTGTGTGTGTGTGT